AAGGAAGTTATGATAGTTTATAATAATAATCTAAACCACAACTGTAGTAAATGTGTATAGAGAGGCAAAAAACATACAACATACATGTACATGTATGCATGTAGTGAAATTGTTGACAGGAATTCTATAGTATCTAGTAGCCATTCATTTGTATGTACATGCATTATAATAGTTGATGTACTTATGGTATTTAGAAAGTTTGAGCTGATTGTGCCAATGTAAAAGACATACATGTACTACAGATCAATAGTTTCATTAGTTTGTTATTATTATTATTATTATTATTATTATTATTATTATTATTATTATTATTTTAGGTGGTACAGACATCATATCTTGTTTTGCTGGTCAGAACCCGACCCTCCCAGTACACAGAGGAGAGATACAGTACAGGAACATGGGAATGGCAGTTGAATGCTGGGACAGAAATGGTAAGAATAATCACCACAAAATAAACATAATATATAATATATATTTTTTGTTTGTTTGTTTGTTTACATTATTTGTTTACAAGGTAAGCCGGTATACGATGAGAGTGGCGAGTTGGTGTGCACTAAACCTTTCCCTTCAATGCCAACTCATTTCTGGAATGATGATGACTCCATCAGGTACCAAAAATCATACTTCTCAGTTTATTCAGGTAAAAACAACAACAGCAACACCAATAACAATAACAACACACATAGTAACAACAACACCAATAACAAAAATGATAATAATGACATTTATATAATATACTTGTAGGGGTGTGGGCTCATGGTGATTTTTGTAAGATTAGTTCAAGAACTGGTGGGATTGTAATGCTGGGGAGGAGGTAAAGTAGCAGCTGCTTTATTTGTTTTGAATTTATTTAATTTTCTAGTGATGGGACGCTCAATCCTAGTGGCGTGAGATTTGGAAGTGCCGAGATTTATAACATCAGTAAAATAATGAATGATAAAAATAATAGTAATTATTATTATTTTATAATAGTTGAGAAGTTTGATGAAGTTAAGGACAGTTTATGTGTCGGGCAATTGGTTGGATTTGATGAACGAGTGATTCTCTTTATTAAAATGAACCATGGCTATACGTAAGGAAACAAACTAGCAATGGGTATGCCCCTTTAATCTTCCTCTAATAATTATTGATAGTTTTAATGACGAGTTTGTTAAGAAAGTAAAGATGTTCATTAGAGGAGAGTTATCAGCACGACATGTTCCAGCTATCATTTTAGAAACTAGTGATATACCAGTAAGGAAATAGAAAAATATATGTATTTAAATTTGCTATTAAGCTCAAAATTTTGACCCTCAATTGCAGTCAAAATCCAATCTTTTTTTGAAAAATTTTTGCTGGTTTTTTAATTATTTAAAGTATATATATTTTATGT